GAATTTGTAGGATTTTGTCAAAAGAGGCATTTCCGAGGGATCAGGCGCCCTCATGCCTTTCCGTTTCGCCAATGATGCCATGTTTGCAGAACTTGCAGAAAGCTGCATCTCCCCTCCAGTGGTAGTGAGAGCTCGTCCAGTTGCAGTGAGGGGTCGTTGAGCTGGAAGGCCCTCCGAGGGAGTGACGGTTTTTTGCACGACAAAAAGTCTGCTTTCTGCAATCGTTGTTGTGACAGTCGCGTCTTGTGTTGGGAATGTTCCCGTCGGGCCTCGCACTATGAGATTCGCAAACATTGACGCCGAGCTGCTTGATGTCGATGGATTCTCAAGGAGAAGATGTTGGACCGCCGAGTGGGAAGGCGAGGTTGCAATAAAAGTGGCATCCTGGTTCAGAGGTGCCCTTACTGCAACATTCCCCATCGGTACGACGCCTATTTGTTCTAGCCCCAAGGCCTTTCAAGAGAACGAACCGCGGGTGAAGGGTTTCCTATAAACATTCATACCTTCGTGAAGGCCCCGTGCTATGGCAGAAGGAACAGTAGAGAAATCATTCTCGTGCTTTGTATGTGTTGTTGCAATTATTGTATGTCGAGTCGATCTTGCATACGCTCCAGATATCGAGCAAAATTAGTACTGGATGGAAAAAAGTAGCAAAAAGGAACCTGATGGCCTTTAAAGTGACGAAAACAGAAGATCCTCTGTGGTCTACTTCACGAGGGCGCTATGAGAGCTTGACAACTGCTTGAATGTCTTTCTTCTTTGTATAGATTCATGCAGCTTCCGGATGTGCTGTAAATAGGATTTAGTGGGCGAACTCCATTTGACACTCACCTCCTTAATTTGTTTGTATTGTTTGTACTCATTCTCAATGATGATAATGTCACGGTGGTATTTGATTGGCCTGAAAGGATTCATTGCATTCGACTCGACTATTTGGGCGAACCTTCCTTCAACTCTGACGAAGTCTTCTTGGAATTTTTGCAATTTGTTGCGAAGTTGAATTTTATCACATTGAAGCTTAGACCTACAAGAAGCATACAGCTACTCAAAAATCGATTTCATACAACCTTTCTTTATCAAAGTTCTAGTTGAGTCGCTGTTCGGCTTTGAGCTTACAACTTCTTTTCTTCTGCCGTTAGATCCTCATCTATCGCATTGTGGCTGCTACTCCTGCTCGTTTGAGCCGTCAGTTCACCTATGGATGAAACAAGTCAGTTGTATGGGTAACTCTATGGAACAAGTCAGGTTGTATCAACTGAGTCAGCTGAAAAATGTGTCACCTGATGTATCAACTGAGCAATGGATCTGCAGGAATGATTTACCTTGTTTTTTCGATCCCCGTTGAATTGCAATTTTAAGTCGTCTATAATAAACATATAACGATCGCAAGGGCTCTTTCTCTTCTCTTCCAGGCTAACAAGAGGAGAAATTTGCAAGAAAAGATTCCTTAACGTACAAGGCACCCAAATTTTGCTTTGAACGTTGAATCATAATCCTTCAACTCGTTTTTAACGCGCTGCTTCTCTTTTTCTAGACGTTGAATGTAATTCGTTCCTTTTGCCAACTCCTACACAAACAAAAAGGTTTGTTACAACAACCACTCATATTTCTCACCTGAATCCGTTGCATCTGAAGTGCCAACCCCTTGGACAGTTGCAGCCGTTCCATTGCACCAGTATGAAAAGCATTTCCAAAATCCTCGACGTCATGGAATTTCTTTGAATCTAATGGTTGAATTTCTCGTGAAAGTGAAGATCCCGTAGCGGAGTATTGATCTGTCCCGATTGATCCCGATTTCCCTTCAGAAACACGTAGCGCCCCTAAAAACGAAATGAATGTATGAGAGTGGGCAGAAAAGAAATATCAAGTGGCAGTTGAAAACGTTCTCGGTGTGGCAGTTGAAAACGTTCTCGGTGTGCTTGTGACCTCGAAGGCTTACCGGTGGAGATACGAGTTGATTCTGTTGCGAATTCTGAAAGTTTGAGATGCAAGAGATCGGTATCATTCATCCCTCGTACTTTTATTCGAATCTATCGACATCTGCTCTGGAACGAAAAATCATGCCAGAATAATTGTTAAACCGCAAAGAAACCAGGAACGATAGATGCCACGTACTTGTTGCAGTCGGTGACGTTGGGCTTCTGTCAGAACGAAGAGGTGATGAATCCCCTGGACTGCTATTCGCTCCGTGTGGTTCAAAAAGAGCTACGTCGTTTGGAGCTCCCAATTGAAAGTGAGGCATTTCATCGTCGAAATCTCCGACATCCTTGACTGAAAGAACAACATAGAGACAAATGAAAGGATGAAGATCCCACTTATTTGATCAGTGTGCCATTTCTTGGGAATGGGGACAAGGTTGTCGGGTACTGATAGAGGTGCAAACTCCTATAGAGAAAACGATCCAGCAATCAGTTAAGGCTCCATGTGCGAGATAACAAGCAGTGTAGAATGCTTACAGTTAGAAGCAAGGGCGTACGACGTTGTGAAGGTCGCCCTTGATCAGATGGTGGGTTACTCAATCCACAAATTCGACTAAAGATTTGTGTAATTGAAAACTCAAGCCATTCATTTTCGCTGCCTGCCAATTCTTCTTGATGAGTTGAATGTTGTGTCGGTAACAAGAAGTTGGATGCTGGTTCAACTAGACTTGACATCGTTGATAAATCATTCCCCAGTGACTGGTCAGCACTGTTCTTTCAGGGAGAAAATAGTTGAGGTTTTCTTAAGAGTCTGTTATCAGGTTTACGTGATGCAAACGTTTAATTTCTAATTGTTGTAACACGCTGGGAATGTCTGCTTGAATGCTTGTTGTATAGTGTGTTGTTGAATTAAAGCAACGTTCATTGTAATAATGTTCACAGTATTGTCGTAGTGGATGACTTTCCCATAAAAGGATTTCTATTTCGGTCAGTCTTTTTGGGACGTGTCCAGAAGTCTCCATTCCGGTAACCCAGAGAACGACATGTTTTTTCCACAATGAAGTCTTTGTGAACAATTTCTTCTGCTACTTATACATTTCTACTTCTACAAAGAATATTTTTTTGAATAGGTGGTTTTAAAATGCCAAGTCCGTTTCTAACAAGTGAGTCATTTGAAGTCGCAGAAGTCATCAAAACGGAGCACGAAACGCCCCAGGAGAGGGAGGCGTCCCTCCGCCGCCGCGCCAAGGCCTCCGGTTGGATTTTGCTTATCTCGGGTGCCCTTGTTTTGGCATCTGGAAGTTGGGACTCATTGGCAATCAAATGGATGAATTTGCAGAAAGTGGCACCATGCGACGGTTGTGAGTTGCGTTATTTTGAAGCTCCGTTTTTTCAAACATTCACTGTGTATCTTGGAGGTGAGGAAAAATTTTTTTTTGTTTGGTTTAATGAGGCGTTTTCAGAGTTTTTATGCCTTCCTGCGTATTGGATTGGAAAATATATTGCTTCATTGCGCAAAAGACCTAAACTAATGGAGTTCGCTACGTCTGATGCATCGTTCTCGAAGCAGCCATGCCCCAAATACTGGTATGTGATCATTTCAACACTTTTCTCTGATTATTAATATCCTCAGGTGGTTACTTCCAGTGATGCTTGATTTTGTTGGAACTCTCATGGTCACCTATTCAATTATTTTCACGTGAGTTGGACAATTAGTTTATTTTACAATCTATGACAAAATAAATCATTTTGATCCGAATTTCTATTTTTCCGTCACTAGTCAAATTACTTTACTATATATATATACCTTAATTTCACTACCAAGGTTCGCCCGACGTCATGACGATAAAATTTTTTTTTTAATTTTTTTTTTTCGATTTGACCTGTTGGTATTTTTTTATTTTGACAGACAAGCTTCCTCTGTTGGTATTTTGCGTAATTTTAACATCGTCGCTACGGCAGTTCTCTCTGTTCTTTATATCAAAGTTGCTTTACGACGCCACCAGATTGCCGGCGTTCTCATCGTCACGATTGGGCTTGTGATTACTGGTCTTTATTCGATCTTACATCCCGATGCATCAAACAACTACGGGGGGATGGACTGGCTTGGGATCCTACTCGCTCTGATTGGGACACTAATGACTGCAATTCAGTCCATCGTGGAGGAGAAGCTCTTCCGTAAATATCGCTGCAGTCCGTTGGAAGCAATTGGATGGCAAGGACTCTACGGAGCGATTATTGGAGGAACCTTACTGATCATCTTCCAGTTCACTGGAACTGAAAAAACATCTGAAACAATTTATATGATGAGCCAAGGAACTAAAGAATCGTCAATTCTCATTGGGGCGAGTATTGGATTTGTTCTGTCAGTTTCTATCTTCAACAGCACAGGACTTGTGGTAAGTATCCCATGACATTGTAACCTGGACTCTTCTTATTTCTCTCTTGCTTCTATCATTCATCGTTTCTCACTTTTCAGATTACGAAACTCGGCTCTGCAGTTTTGCGTATGGTGCTTGTCGCTGCTCGTGTGGTGACAATCTGGGTTGTTGAGCTTATCGTAAAATGGAATACCTTCAATGGCCTGAATTTCGCTGGACTTGTTGTTCTTTTGACTGGTGTTATCATCTACAACTACAACTACATGGTTTCTAGAGACAGCTGGAAGGGAGACGCTGCGATACGAAAGCCCGTTATGATTGGTGGAGCACGAGACCCGGATGTCCCAATAGAATTCGGAGAGTCGAGTGCCGCAGAATCAAGCGAGCCACAAACCAGCAAAAAACCAAAAGTTGCGAGTATGGAGACCCAACCCAGCGAAACGCAGCGTCCTGTTGCGGTGGATACTTGAAATGTGGCAAAGTTCCATTCCATTCCCTATCGCGTTTAATTGTTTTATTCTAAATCGATTAGTTTGGCGGTTTTATTCTTCATTCGTTTCTTTCTTGATTTGTTTTTTTCTTCTATCCTAATCCGTTTTATGTTAAGAATCGGTTTTATTTGTCGAATCGCAGAAGCGTCAGTTCAAGCGCTCAATTTTTCACAACAGAAAATCACAAAATATTTTGAGTATGAATTGAACTACTTGCGCCGACGCTCATCGTCGCGTGCCTTTCTTTCTTCCTTTTCTATTAAGATGCGCAGAATGCGAATGAAGATTCCAACAATGTCAATGTAGAAAGTGAGAGCGTGGAGCTGAAAACACGAAAAATTCCATTAAATTGCAAACACTGAATAACTTACAACGACATCAGTTTGACCCCGGCTGTGTTCAAACAGCACGGCTTGGGTGTCATAGAGAACGAATCTGAGAAAGTAGGAGATGATTTGGAGGCAGCAGGGGCAAAACTGACCCCATGTAAGCAGCAAGTCCTCCATAAAGAAGAACATCATGAGCAATTTTTGAACGGAAAAAAATGTTGAAGAACGAAATAAAAGAAAGAAACATCATGGCCTGGGAAATGAATGGTGGTCCACGCAAAACGGGTTCCTGATGCTTCAACTTACCGACATAAGAATTGACCCGAGATAGAGGAAAGATCTGAAACATACAATTGTAAGAAAGAAAAAAAGTTAGAGGACTGACCTTTCCTTGGCGAACATTGCAGCCAGAGAAAAGCTGATGAAAACTGCGAGCGTTGCGAGAAGAGCAGTTGGAAGAATTGCTGCACAGAAGACAGAAATGAGAAGAGATCTGGCATCAATGGATTACCTGGATTAAGAAAGTTGGCGTAAGAAATAACCTCAGAAAGAGAAGTTCCAAGCAAGAAGCCGGCGGCAAGAAGAGCTGCAAGACGTTTTTGGCCTTGAACTCCCTGAAAATAAAATCAGTAGTAGGAAAGATCGAATTTAACTTGTTCCTGGTTACCTTTAATCCAGATGGCGTTGATGTGGCACCAACATATAGAATACAAACAAATTGACCAATACCCGCCAGGAGGAGGGGAATGGCGAAAAAAGTTGATGCGAAATACACACCGGCGCACGTTGCCAAAATCGCTGAGGAACACAAAGTGTGTGAAAGAATGATTCAATCAACAGGCCTACAACTGGCAAGTAGAGCATAACATTGAGTCAAGTAATGCTGTTGAGAATGAGATAACGGAGTAAAGCTTAAGAACCCGTCCATCGGGATCTTTTGTCGCCCTGAAATAACTCGTTGAAAAGCCTCCATTGGATTTTGGGTTGGTTTTTATGGTGCTGAGACTGGTGCTGTTCCTCTTAAAAAGCTGTCCCAAAAGTGCGTGTTCAGGCAAATGCAAAAAATGTCAAGACTTTAATAGAATACAATACATCGCGGAACATCCATCACAATCCGTTATGAAGGATCCCTAAGGAAAGAAGGGTTCAAAAGAGGATCCTTTGCGCTTCTTTTGAATCCCTTGCTATTTGAGGATCCTTACTTCAAACGCTATACTCAATTCATCCACTTCTATCGGAATGTCATTTCCACATCGACATGTATAGCAATAGAGAGAAGCATCAAGTTGTTGAGTTGAACTCAAGTTGATTCTAGTGATATTGCCTTCACACGATTGACGACATTCATGCAACAGATTTGCATTCATATCACCACCCTCAAACCCTTTTTTAAGGGACTCGAACGCGTTGAGAACTTTCTGAAATTCACCTGTTTTTTCGGTCTCGAGGTGTTTTTTGTCTGGATGATATTCGAGTGCCTTTCGACGAAACGCTCTCCGAATGGTTTCATAGTCGCTTCCTTCCAAAATTCCTAGAGTTTCCCAATGTGTCTTCTCACCGGACATCATCAAGCGGAAATTGGACCTGGGAAGTGTCAGTCACGAACCTGGATTCGTTCGTTGAATACCGATGGGGAAGATAAAAAAAGACAAAAAACGTTCTCATAATGGTGGAGCTATGGACGTTGATGACGTGAGTGCGAGTGGGATGGATGATCATATGACAAACGCAGAAGGTGAAAAGGAAACGTCTCACTCTATTTCAAAGGTAAGAAACGTCACACTCTAAAAGGTGTGTTTCAGCGAGAGTGACGATTCGCTCATATGTGATCTGTTTTCAGCGTCACGCAACAGAATGGAAGGCAGTAAAGAAGGAAGTGTCTCTATTGAAAAAAAGAAAACAGAAATTAAAGAAGAAAGTTGTCTCTGAACGTGAAGAGAAGAAAAAAATTAGTAAAGAAATCAAATCATTGTTGGAAACAACCAGAAATAGACATTTAGCAGAGGCGAAACAACAAGAAGTTGGTTTAGACCCTCAGGAGAATCTAGGAATGGTTGATGAGTGAACAGAGATTGAGGAGTTAGGTACCCTTATAGGTTTCCCTTATAGCAGCTTAAACTTAAAAGATAGTCCTGTTTTCTTTGTTGGTGCACATCCTGACACAGACGCACTGCTTTTGAGTCGTGATATGCCGCGCAATACAAGCAGGAATCCTCAAGATGTGAATCCAACGGGAAGGAGCAACCAGGATGCTCCAAATATTGACAACACAACCCGAGGAGGTGAGCGAGATTGTACGGGATAGAATATTGAAGAAGAGAAACCATAGAACAACCAGATACTGTTTATACGGGTGGTTGCTAAGACGAGTGGTTGTTTGGTTGTTGTTTGAAAGGGGGTGGGGTGAGGGGGTGGTTGTTGAGAGGGTGGTTGCTCATCCGGTGGTTGCTCATCCGGTGGTTGCTAAGACGGGTGGTTGTTGCTAAAAGGGGGTAGTTGTTACAACGGGTGGTTGCTGAGACGCGTGGTTGCTAAGACGGGTGGTTGTTGCTTTTAATAGATGTTCGCGGAGATCTTGGTGACGCTGGAAGGAATCGGGTTTATGGACTACACGATCATTCCGACATCAACGAGACTGAGCTGAAAGGATTATTTGAAACATTTTTGCAAACATTCAGACTAAGTTCTGAGAACAGCGAATGGGATGAAGAGATCTTCGACGTTGAGCCTCGGCAGCCTTTCTACATGCATCAGATACAAACTTTGTTTGAAAACGCAATGAACAGCGAAACCGCATGTTGTGACTTCTCGATTGATCTTCAGCACATCAACAAAAGTTCATTGGTGCTACTCAAAGCCATCATTCGTCATCCAGCAGATTTAGTCATTTTCATGGATGAAGTTCTTGCAGACATAATCAGCCGACTGTATGCAAGTTACGATATTTCTGATCACCTCCTCCAAAATAGAAGATTGAGTTTGAAGGCAAGCCATTTTTATTTAACTGACAAAGTTTTGGTCTTCTCTGTTATAGACGAGTCTGTTCCATCATCCTCATGTTCGATGTATGCGAGATCTTGACCCGAAGGACATTGAAACACTCGTTGCGATAAGAGGGATTGTTGTTCGTTGCTCATCAATCATGCCGGACATGCGACAAGCTGTATTTCGATGTACAAGCAGGAAGCAAGATGATCCGTCTGTAGGGATGCATCACGCAGTTTTTGATCACTCGGTTCGATTTTAGGGACAAATTTGCGGTTATGAAGAAGTCAGGGCGATTACGGGTGGCCATATTGATGAGCCTCTGATTTGTATCAAGTGTCAATCAAGGTACACTTTCGAATTATTTCATTCACAATGTGTTTTTGGAAACAAACAATTGATTAAAGTGCAAGAAACTCCAGAAAGCATTCCAGAAGGGGAAACGCCCCAAACACGTGAGTCTCTGCTCCGAGTGCTTCTTGCATCCCGAGAACGGCAAGATCTGTTTTTCAGTTTTGGCGTATGTTTATGACGAAATGGTGGACATTTGCAAGCCTGGGGATTTCATCGAGCTGACAGGAATATACAGAGCATCTGGTGTTCGCATTGTGCCTCGCATGCGGACATTAAAATCAGTGTACCGAGTTTACATCGATGTAAATTCTATTCATAAAGATCATCTAAATCGTTTTTTGATTGCTGAGAGTCAAATGGTGGGACCCGCTGCAGATGGTAAGGAGGATGTTCATGATATTGTGATGATGATGGATTCTCTACTTCAGCACATCTTGATGGCCAAGAAGATATTTTGATGGATGACGTCAGACAACAACGTCAACAAGAACGTCATCAGCGTGCATATGGAGGACAAATGTCAAATGAATTAATGGAGCGTATGAAAGCATTAGGTCAAGACCCAAATATTTATGAAAAATTAGTTAAATCGTTAGCACCGAATATATGGGAATCTGACGACGTCAAGAAAGGTAGGAAACCACTCTCTCGTCTCTTTTGTCTTTTCGATCTTCTCTGGTTTATATCGATTAGAATTTGCCTATATCGATTATAATTTGTTTATATCGAACAATTGCTTCCCATCAGGTCTTCTTTGCCAATTATTCGGTGGAACAGTGAAAGCTATTGGTGGCAGAGCGACTCGTAGCGACATCCATGTTCTATTGTGCGGTGATCCGTCCACTGCGAAGTCCCAATTGCTGAAATATGCACATGGAATAGCACCTCGGTAAGAGATTTTGCTTGATACTAACGTGTGGAGATATTGAAAGAGGGATTCTAGATGGCCACTCTATTGATCAACTTCTTCTGTTCGGTTAGTTTTTAATCCTCTTCTACATTTGTTTTCCGTCTATTCAGAGGT